AATCGGTAGGTCTGGCTTCCTGAATAGCTGGTACCAAATGGGCATCTGGCCATTTCTGTTCAAAGTTTTGCAGCATTAATTCAGCACCAGAAAAATAAACACAGATGGCTGATGCTTCATTTAACATCTTTATAAACATAATAAGTAGATTTTACAAACCAGTTGTAGATAAGGGTGGGATTCAAAATTTTTAACAACTGGTTCTGTGGGCGTGGCTTAGGTGGTGGGTGTGACTTGGTGGTTATGTGACTGGGTGGACATGGCTTGGTGGTCATGTTATTGGCTGGGTGTGGCCAACTCAATATCACTCACATCGAGGCACACATCTCCTCGCCTGGCCTCTCATGACTGTGGGGATGCTGCAACAGTCATAAATTGTAAGTGAAAAATGGTCATAAGTCACTTTTTTCTGTGCCATTGTAACTTTTAATGGTCACTCCACAGAAGCAAAGTACCACCAGCAAATGTAACTTTTAATGGTCACTCTACACAAGCAAAGTACCACCAGCAAATGAGGAGAAAAAAACTCCAGAGATGTTCCTGAGACAGGAAGTCTAGTCCTGCTAAGAATGTAATAAGGGTTAACGGAGAGGCAGTTTCTGTAAGCAACACCAGAATGTTTCCTTCCTACCTTCCTTACAGGATTAGGCCAGTAATTTCTTCTAACAATCGGTTCTCCGAACTGCTTAGAATGTTAACAACTGGTTCTAGCGAATAGGTGTGAACTGGTAGAATCCCGCCCCTGGTTGTAGATTTCTCCAACATGGAGCAAACTCAGACAGAAACATGTTGCAAGTAACTTCAGAAGCAACTCAGGAGCTCAGAAACATACATCAGTTTCACTTTAGTTCAGCAGGCAAGCAGAGAAGCAGTTTCATCTTCAATAGACAGACTCAAAGCTCAACATAGCTTCAGAGCCGCAGAGCTTAACATAGCTGCAGAGTTGCAGAGCTTAATATAGAGCCACGCTTAGACTATTTCTTAGTTTCAGTTTCCAGCCTAGGCTACTTCTAGTTTCAGTTTCCAAACTGTCCTCATTGGCTGATTTAGTTGCTATGCCTATTCATTGGCTGACCTTGTTACCATGCTCTATTCCAATTCATGAATATACTCTGACAATTTCTCATCCTAATGTTCATACATAAACAGGGGTGGGATTCTACCGGTTCTGTCCACCTCTGTAGAACCAGTAGCTCTGAAGAGCAGCAGACATAGAACCAGTTCTATGTCTGCTGCTGTTTTGGCCCACCCACCCGCCTGGGCTCTTACCTGACCTTTATTTCCTGCTTTCTCAACCTCAGCTGCTTTGTGCAGCATAGCTGTGGTTGAAAAAGCAGGAAAAAAGTGCTTTTTCAAGTGCTGCGCACCCACGCGCAGCGCTGCTCAGCTGTCCAGGCAGCAAGCTGATGACATTATACACGTGCACGCAAAACGCAAAACGTAAAATCACGGAACCGGTAGTTACACCGGTCGGATCCCACCCCTGTACATAAATCATACATAAACCTTGCAAAGTTTTCTAAGAACCACTGAGGACTACAGAAAGAACTGCTGATACTCTAAATAAATAAATGATACTGAGGAAGAGATGGAATGGCAATATGACACACTCATTGATGCCAGCTACTTCATTTGTCAGCACAACCTAAATGAGAAAAGATTTTAAAATGTTGATATGCACCTAAATTATTTGAGATGGGGAAATGGGTTTATTTACTCATGTTTCTCTCATCTCCCACTACAGTTACAAGACAAAGGGAAGGTGGAAGGTTTCCTGTGGAATTAAAGGTTTTGTTTTAACTGGATTTCTTCCTATATGAACCTGTACAAAAGAATGCCTCTCTCAAATCTCACGCTCAGTCATAAACAAGATGAAAAGGCGTCATGGTACAATAAAGAAAGCCAATAAAGCCTACATGGCTAAATACCAGTGTAGAAAGTTAACACCCAGCCTTCTCCTAGAAGAATGAAATATTTTGAGAAATATTTAAAAAGGCAGAATATTATATTTCCCTAAAGGAGAAACATGCTCTTGGAAAGCAGCCCCCACCTTTGTTAATAGCCCTAGCAGGACTGAGGCATCCTATGTACAAGAAAATCCTATCGTATCTACCTTCAGCTCCAGGGTGATAGGATTAAGACATGACCCTGTGGGACAAAATAGGATTATCTAGCAGCAGGGCTCACTGCATTGCAAAATTTAAGGACATTGCATCACCCAGCAAGGTTCAACCAAACTTATCTCAGACAAACTCTTAGGATTTGCACATAGCTCAGTGGGAGTCTGACAGCAGCCAATAGAATACATTTCTTGCACAGGAACAGGAAGCTCAAGGGCAAGGCCCAAGAGAGGGTATAAATAACCCGCACTCTCCACTCCATGTGGTCAGCTGCCCAGGACCCCAAACCCATGTGGTCCTGTTCAACAATAAACCATCTTTCCAATCAGCTTCGTTCCACTGTCTTTCTCTCTACCTGGAACTGAACCAGATGGATATTTCTTCCAACACCAGGTTACCTGATTTTTCCAAGAGTTTCTACCCACCCAGCCTGATCCAACAGATTGGACATGATGCAAATCCCATCATCCAAGAAGTGTCAACCGGCAGGAACTGGAAGATGGGGTTTTTCTGCTGTAGCCCCTGCTTTGTTAAACATTCTCCCGTTAGAATGATCACAACCCTGTTGGCTTTTCACAATGCTTTAAAAACTTGGCTATGTCGACAGGCCTGGGACTCAGAATGTGGTTAGAGTCCAATTATTTGGATTTCCCAGCTGATGTTTATATTTATTTATTTTGTGGGTGTCTTTGTTGTTTTAATGTTCATAATTTTTAGAAGTGCAAACCACCCAGAGTCAATTGGCTGAGTTAGGAAGCTATAGAAACTGGATAAATAAATGAAAAATAAATAAATTGGGGCTAACTCCGCTGTTGCAAAAGCCTATATATTATTCCTGAAGAAAGGAAAGCCACATTTCTGGAACAGCCATTAGAGGGTACTAGAGACAAGCAGTCGGCAGAAGTGATGGCCTGTTTATACACACTTCACCGCTAAATGCCAACTATCAAGCCAATGTTAATTACCCAACCAGATATCCATCCCAATTAGGGATGGGCAGTGTTCAAAAATAATCAGTAAGAAGTGTTTCCAACCACCCTTAGCCGTTCTTTGCTATTCATTTAAAACAGTTCAACTCTTTAGCTTTTCCATGAGGTTGAAAAATATGATCAAGAATCTCATCCATTTAGTCAAATGGATTTCTTAAAGCAGGATTGTTTTTTTTCCCCAGGCTTACATGAGAAACCTGGAAAAAGAAGGTCTGTTTTAATGGAGGAGATCATTTGCTCAAGCAAGATCCAAGCAATTGTTCATACTAGTGGTGATATTCTACTGGTTCGGCCCGGTTCTGCTGAGCCAGTACCGGTGATGAACAGTGGAGACATAACCAGTTCTCTCCACCACTCAGCTGTTGGGCCTGCCCGCTCGCCCGGGCTCCCATACTCACCTTTATCCTCTACTTTTGAAGCGCAGCTGCTTTGCACGGCACTGCAGGTGTCGTGAGGCAGCTGCTGAAGCAATCGGGAGTGCGGGCTTCCAAGAGGTGAGTTGGAATGCCTCTGTGCCTGCGCAAAGTACGTGTTTGGGATGCGCAAAATGCGTGCATACTCGCAAAGCGCACCCACCAAGCCACGCCCACCGAACCGGTGATAAAACTTTTTGAATCCCACCACTGGTTCATACTACTGTATTTGCAACTTCCCTGATGAACAAATCCTGCGCAATTGCAGCCACAATCTGATAGCACCGACAAATTACATATATAAGTAAGAATCCTTTAATGGCAAGATTACCATGGACACAACCGTGCAGTAATCCTGCCATACCTCCTTCTAGGTCTATATTTTCCCAGGGTAGCTTGCAACCTGGACTCTCCTGTCTTAAGAGTTAATCAAGCCTTACCCTGCTTAGATTCCCAGCCCAGACATGCGTAGGGGGGGGGGGGGGGGGGGCAAAGGAGGTGTCAAAAAGTTCCCGAGGGCAGTTGCAACCTACCTTGCCTCTTTTTAATTTTGTATCATATACAGGTAGTCTTCACCTTGTAACTGTCACTGAGCTCAACATTTCTGTTGCTAAGCAAGACCTTGGTGAAGTGAATTTTGCCCTCATTTTATGGGCACGGCTGTTAAGTGAAACACTTAGTAACATGGTCGTTAAGTGAATCTAGTTTCCCCATTGACTTTGCTTGTCAGGTCGCAAATGGGGATCACATGACATCAGGAAACCGCAACTGTCATAAGTACGAACCAGTTGTCAAATGTCTGAATTTTGATCCCACAGGAATGCTGCAACTGGTCAGTGTGAAAAAACGGTCCTGAGTCAATTGTTTCGGTACCACTATCACTAAATGAACTGTTGTAAGTCGAGGACTACCTGCATTAAGCAATTCCCCTCCCCCTCACGGACACCCCTTGCCAGGCCCCATTGCTTTCTCCCCTGCCGCGAAGCCACTGGGAAGCCAGCTACAAGGGGGGAGGGCAACCAAGAATTTAAATTGAGGGTGGGGGGAAGCAAAGAAAAATGAGAGGCAGCCGCTCTGCAAGCTGGCGCCAGTTCCTTAGGGGCCAAAGCAAGTGGAGCGCGCAGCACCCCCCTCCCCCGACGGAGCCCCCCCCCCCCCCAAAAAAAACCCTTCACCGTTCACAGTGGACCCCCACCCTTTTTAAAAAAAATCTCAGACGGCGCCGCGTCGATTGGCGGCCGACACGACTCCCGCCTTTCTCTCTCTCTCTCTCTCTCCACCGGTGGCAGCGATCTCCCGAGCCTCGGCGGAGCCAGCAGCAGCCTACCGCCTGACGCGAGCCGATAGCCGGCGGCGGCGGCGGCGGCGGCGGAGTCGGGCTCTCCACGTGTCAGGGCGGGGCGAGCGGACGGTCGAAGGCGGGGCTGGCCGGAGCTCGGGCTGCGGAGTGCCAAGCACGGGGTGTCGGGCAGCTGGGAGCGGCTGCGGCATTGGCAGCGACCCGGTTTCTCTCTCCTCGCCCTCCTTCGCGCCAGCAGCCCGGCTGGCTGTCACCGCCGAGGCCAGGCGGGATGGGGCCCCTCAAGGAAAGCTGCAAGGTGAGAGAGCGACGGTGTGTGTGTGAGAGAGACAGAGAGAGACAGAGACAGGGACAGAGACGGAGAGGAGGAACTGGGGAGTTGGGTTTGCAGGGAGGGAGCAAAACCAGGTGTAGCCAGACCTCGTTTCCAACCCGCCCGTCTGTACGCGTATACCCACCCCTAAGCTACCTGAAGACTCGAGCCTAGAGGCACACGCGTGCCTACGGTCTTTGGAATGGGCAAACGCGTGGATATATAGTCGGAATATACCTGCTTCATCTCACCTCCCTCTACGCAAAAATGCCTTTTCCAAAAGGAGCCTTAAATGCCGGGGGGGGGGGGGCGTCTCGTTACACACAAACATATACACCCGATCGTGTTTTGTCAGCCCCTCGCCCCTCGAGGGGAGACTGCATAGGTTGGTTGGATGGATGGAGAGGGAGATTAAGTATTGGGAGGTGCTGGTGGTAGGGAATAGGGCAACGGGGCATCCTTATGTGGGGCTGGAAGCTGAACCCGATTCCCTACCCCCAACCCCCCCACCCCAGCTGAAGGTATGCATCCTTCAGGCAACCCACCCAACCTCCCCCAATAAGGAGGCTGACATCATTTTCTGTGGCTCTGCCTCTTCTGCGGATCTTTCTCTAGAATGGGTGGGTGGGATCAAGCTCAAAAATAAATAACGTCAGCCCAAAGCTCAGAAAGGTACGCGGGGTTGGGTGGGAGAAAGGGGAGTAGAGAATGAAGCTCAACATATTACATCGGCTCCAAGCTGGATTATCTCCCGCCTCTTTCCCGATGATGTGTCCCAGTCTTTTGGGATTCCGGAGTGGTGGGGAAGAGACACAGAAGGACTGTCTCTGATAATTGCGTTTTGAGTCCCTCTTCCAGCTGATGCCTAGCATAATAAATTTATTACGGTTCCTCCCCAGTGATGCTGGGCCTCTGAGTCTCTCATTCGGGGAACAGTTGTTGTTGTCTTAATGTTAATATATCTTCCTTCTTTGCATCTGACATTGGGCTTCATTTCTAAATAGATTTCTTCCCCTAAGAAAACAAAGCTAAGGTCAATTAATGTAATGTACTTTTATGTTTTCCATTGGGTTGGAAATTTATGTGGATTGACTGCAGAAGAGCTAAGGGAAGTAAGTTGATCAGATAAACTGTATAAACCCTAAGAGGTTTTTGGTCATTTGCAACCGTTCTTTTTTTTTTTTTTTTTAATAAAGTTTATTTGGGTTTTCACACACAAAATACAAGTAAAACATCTTTTTTGAAAATAGCATGGTCCCAGGTTGAACTTCTTTATACAGACACAAAACTCAATTTCATGCTCCTTTTTGTGTTCTATTCCATATCTTATACTATTCTACATTTTCTATATAGTTTTTCCCCTCTTTTAATTTTCTCAATTTTATTTTGATTATCTCATCTCAATTCAAATCATTATATTTATACTTTTGTCTGTTCTGTTTCAATTTCATATTATCTTTTCTCATTAAACAAATTTTCTCCTGTAGTTACTAATTGGAGTATGACACCTTTATATCTTTTAATTACATCCATTCAACTCTTATTTAAACTTCAATATATATCTTAAGTTTATGACCTTCAAAATAATACATAATACATAACTTCCAATCGAATTCTGCTTGGTACATTCTTATAATACACACTATATTCTTTAAAAAAAAAAAGATTGTAAATATATGTAATTATAAACCTGCATTCCATTCCAGTTCAGTTCTATCATTAATAATCATTAAAATCTTAACATCTTTAACACTTCTTTTCAATTAAATATCATACTTCCTTAAAAACACATATAATCTCCATAATTAATTTTTTCCTTATTTCTCTTCACATCTGTTTTATAAATCATTAAATATACCTTTTGTTACATTTATTTATTGACAAGCATCCCACTGAATTACAATAGCTATTTTATCAAACATTTTAATGATACATTGTTTCATAGTTTCTAAAATTATTTCTGCTTCTAATATAACCATACTATCTTATGTACCTTTGCAGAATCCCTTTTTCCATTAAGTTTTCACCCATTATCTCTAAATAGGCCCTGTTTCTCTATTTGCTTCTGTCCTTTAGAACTTCTTTTCCTTTCTTTCTTCCCTCTCATCTTCTCCCTCCCCTTTTTACCCCCTTGTCTCTCTAGTTCTAATTCTCTCTTCTGCATTTCCCTCTTCTGTTGCTTTCTGATTTTATACTTATTTTTCACTTTTTTTTTGGAGTTGTTTTTCCCAATCTTAAACTTTCCATTCTCTTTCCCCCCCTTTCCTTTTTTCCCCCATCTAAGATTACTTGTTCCTTAAAGGTGGCTTCTTCTTTGTCGCAATCTTCTTGTTCTGCAGGCATTTCTTGTTGTTTCTCATAATTCCAAATCTCCATTTCTAAAAACTGAAATACGAAGCCAAAAGAACCTCTCCCTTCTTGTGCATCTTCTTTGTACTTTTTAAGTTCCATTTTTAGTTCTTCTAAAAGTGGAGCCATTTTAAACAGTTTTAAACAACCACCTGATTGATTTTAGTCATTCATATGCAATAACCAAGAATCCAGAGATCACCAAGTAATCCAAATAGTCCCGAGTTATATCTTTTTATTTCTTTTTCGACTTTCTCTTCCTGGGGTTTTTGTTGTGATATTTCAGTTAGAATGTATCTTTTGGAAGTCTTGTTGAGATTTTGCTGTAAGTTCTTTTTTAATTCCAGGCAGTCTCCTCCCTTTCAGATCCTACCCTTTTATTCTTTTTCTCTCCTTTCCTGTTTTCAATAGCTTTTAATTATCCAGAAATCTTTATTATCCCTTTGACTTTTTATTTTCAGCATTAAATGCCTATTGATGTCAAAGTGGATTTTTTTCCAATTTCTTGCTTAACTCTCTTAGCTGTCAGTATAGGAAAAGGAGAAAACCAAATCTTTTCCCTTTTCTCTCTCCTTCACAGCTTAAAAATCTTCTTAGGGAACGTTATTGTTTTTTAACAGTTTCAATTCCAGGGTACATTATTTGTTGCTTTTGCTGTTTGATCTGATCAACCAAAACTTTCTCTTCTTATCTTCCTCCTGCACATTCTTTTCCGGTCGAGTTCTTCTTTGTGGTGGCCATTTCTGACCACTGCTGCAACCACCTTCGGGAAAGGAAGTAATGGCCAGCTGGGGAGGAGAGATGCAGCTCTCCTCAACCCTGCTGGCAGTCTCCCCCCTCTTCGCCACCTCTACGGGGTGGTTTAGCCCTGAAACCAGCCGGCTCGGGGCGCTCCAGCGGTGCACACGGATCGAAGCCTCACAGAGATGAGGTTTCGGTCTGATGCTGAAGAAGCTCAAACCAGAAGTCCCATTTGCAACGGTTCTTTTGCTCAAAGATTGACCTTCAATTAAAAGCCACATCTTCAATTGGAGCCCCTTCATGAGTGGTTCTCTGTCAAACGTTCATAACTCAGTAGATTCAAGAGCTGATCTTGGCTTTGATCATGTCAAAAGCCCCACTCCCCAAATTAGACAAAAATTATGCTTGATTTAATGAAACGTAAATGATTGATAATAATATTGTAGTAATGATACAGTGATAATAATGATAATGATTGATTGATAAATTGAATGGTTGATAAAGGAATTAATGAAATAAAGACTAACATTACAGAGCTATTACCCTGTTAGTTGCATTAACATTTGGAGATACTAGAGATGCTGTTCACCATGGCAGTCCCTGAGTTTCAGCTTGTTTCTTTATTAACCAATATGATAAACCTGTTCATGGATGCCTTTTTATGCAAATTTGTCATAATTATCGATTCTGAGTTGACTTATTAAAACATCCAGTGGCCCAATTCCAAAATTACTAATGGAATCAATGCTTAAGATCCATCTAACATCAGTTCTAGTTGACCAGAGGGAAACACCAGGCCAACCTCACCCAATCTTAAAAACGTTAAGCTGGATCAAGTGGAAAACAAAAAAAACCCTAGGTCTGGAACCTAAACTGGGGTATTGGAAAAACATTGTGAAAGCCATGGTGGACCACTTCTGTACCGCTATCGAGAAAACTGCTTGAATGTGTCAACAGGAGTCAAACTTAGCTTAAAGATTTACCTGTAAGATTATTATGATAGATTATAAACCATTTTGTTTCTACCTTTGTTTCTACCTTAGTCTCTCATGGGAATATCTAATACCGTCTTACCTGACAAACAGGTGTGTTTGTCAGAATTGGACCTCTGTCTGAATTGTCAGTCAACTGACAGTCTTGGCAGCTTGAAAATATGTAGACCAACTCCAGCAAACAAATGCTGGTTGGGGAATTCTAGAAGTTGAAGGCCACACATCTTCAAGTGATCATGGTTGAAAAACACTGAGCTAAGGAATCTTCTGTGGAACATCACTATGCACAAGCCCGATTTGTTATTTCAGAGACATCTGAAAATATTTAAGTACTGAAAGTGGCTCCTATAGATGGAAACCTCATCCTGTTTCTGAGCCACAGATGTTTTTTTTTCTCTTAGAAGAAAATAAAGTTATTGCTTTAATAAAATCATTAATTTAATTTTTAATTTTAATTTAATTATTACAATAATTAATTCACAAAAGAAGGTAGGGAACACAAAGAAATACATACTGTTACAAGCAGCGGACAAGAAAAAAAAGGAAACGAGAAATGCATATAGGAAATCATTCAGCCTAATTCTTAAACACATCGCTATTTATTGATTGTACATTGATTGATCATTCAGTTATATTAATAGAAAGGAAGTTGGTAAACTGAAAGCAAACACATATTGTTGGTCCAAAATAGTAAATTTGCAATCACATGGGCTTTTTCCAACACCCAAAGCTGGCTTATTTGCTCCCTTCACTCCTGTTCTTGATAAATTCATAGTTTTTCGTACATTGATAAATTCCAAAAGAAATAGTACACTTTTTAAACCAACATGGGATCTATCATGGAACAAAACTGATCATATGAATAAATGTATTTGTGCTTAATTTATACTTCAAATCAAATGATGTTATTTGCCAACTTTCTTAAACATTTTCTGGGATGTCCAGTAACTTAGAAGAAAAATGATAAATGAGAATCATTAAATAATCTTTAAGACTTTATTAATCAATGAATCTGTTTTTATATTGCACTTGGATATTCCAATTGTTTATTTCTGATTTCTTGGAAATAACTAATTCTCACCTTTTCAGTACTTTTTTGTATGAAAAATATAGATATGGCATCATCCAAACATGGAAAATATTGATTGTAATATGGAATTTTATCCAGTACATTTTAAACAGTTGTAAAAACAATATCCTTTAACTGAAGATGAGAACCCAATTCTAATTTTAGGCAATTCAAAAGCCACTTACAATAATTCAGATACTGGCAAAAAGTTGATTTGAAGTATTAATACCTTTAGCTGATCACAATTTCCAATATCTATAATTTTCCAACTGGGATCATTCAGGAATACAAGTTAGCCTTGGGAATAAGGATCTAAAATACATTTCTGTCCCAAATTCATGTATTTATATTTGGGTGCTGCCCATCTCCAAATCAACTCTTCACAATATAATCAATTGTAAATAGTTAAAAACACAGCACAAAATAAGTAAATAAGATGTGATATAGTTCCTCTATACCACGAGTGTCAAATGTCAGGTGACATATCACGATGTTTTTCCCCTTCATGGAGCTGGGGTAGGTATGGCTTGCATGTGATGCATCCAGCCCACTGGCCACCAGTTTGACACCCCTGTTCTATACATAATCATAGACAAAAATATGTTCAAGAAGGGATTCCATCCAACTTGTAAAACTGCCAGGTCTTTAAAGCTCTCTGGAAAATCATCAAAGTGAGAACAGCATCATGAATCTCAGTGGGCACCAAATGTACCTTCTAGCCTTTAATATAACAATGATTGGTGAATATAAAGGTGGAAATAGAGATAAACTGTCCCATAATATTGAACAAGTCACACAATAATTTCCTAATTATGACCATCATGTATGTTTATTTTAATTTAATCACATTCCATAGCAAAGTCAAAATACTGTATATTCCCCTTGATAAACTGAGAATCAGTAATGGATTATTTATTATATCATAGCTGCAAAGTAGGTTTTAAAAATCTAGAAAATTGACCTTTTTGTTAAAAAAAATGCCAACATTTAATATCTTCTCAATCCATTTTTAAAAATTAGGGATAATTTTACACAGAAGTAATAATTGAAAAAGCACCTTTGTGTTCTGACCTAGGCTTCACAAAATCATGAAGCAGATTCCTTGTCCCAACAAAACCCGTTTTTGTTTGGCTAATGTGAATTCCTACCATTCACATCCAGCAAAGTCCCAGCAAACAGTCTTTCAAGGGTGAATTACAACCACAGACCTTATCAGGCTTGGAAAGTTGCCAGGTTGATAGCTTCCAAGCACAACACTGTACAAGAAAATACTTCACAAGGAGTCTCTGAGAGTCATGAACAAATCTTCACACCAGTTAAAGGAACTAATTGTTTCCTGCAAACACCACTCCCCTTTTGCTCCTCTTTATTCCCTATGGGGGGAGCTATTCACAATCCACCTTTGCCTTTACTCCCAAGTTGACCTTTGTTCCTTAACTGTTCCCTTCTCCTGACAGGTCTGCACATATGCACATAGGGAACAAGCTCCAGCTGTTCTTCTGCCCCACTGATCTCCGACTCTGAAGGCAGTTAACTGTCAGAAGGCCCTGGCCCCATTTCTGCCTCCGACACAGAGCACTCATCAGAGCCTTCCCCAGACTACAGGACTGGCCGATGTTTCCCCCCAACCCCCTCACTGTCTGTCGCCAGCTCTGTTGGCCGTTGGCAGGCCAAAGCACTTTGGGACAGTAGGGAGTGATCCCAACTTTCAATAGAAGAGAATACCTGTAGTTCTGATATGAACTGTGGAATTCTCTGTGCTCTTTGAGTGTAGTATTTGACTGCAGAAGTTATCCATTAATCAGCTAGGTAGCATCATCCGTATGAATGACACTACTTTCTTTTCCCTTTAGAAGGATCACAAGATGCAGGACAAGGAGTTTTGCCGCAGCCGGATTCCTCGCCTGGTACTTCGGCCTCATCTCCCCCAGCAACATTTCCAATACCAGAAAGTGTCTCCAGCATCCGAATCCCCCTTTTCTGAAGAGGAAAGCAAAGAATTCAACCCTTTAAGCTCATCTGGAGGGTCTGCCAGGACAATTAGCAGCAACAGTTTTTGCTCAGGTATTAAAGAAAGAATGTACATCAGTTAGGATAAATGGTTGTTTTTATAGTATCATCATTGAATGGTCTCAGTGATCTTCTAATTCAGCTCCACCCCCCCCCCCCCCATGCAACTTTCATTTACTGTGTTCCCTGAAAATATGACCTACCCTGAAAATAAGCCCTAGCTTGATTTTTACATGTGCACTCAATATAAGCCCTAACCCCCTAGTTAAGACCCTGCCCACTCTGGGGTGCATGGAGTGGGGTGAGGCACAGAGGTAAAAATTAAACTAGGGTGGGGATGGGGGAGTGAACTGCCCTATTTACCAGGCCTTGCACACCCCAATACCTGCCTTGCAGACCCTCTTCTCCTGCTTGCTTGTATGTGTTGCCCCCAAACTCTGATCCAGAGCTCTGTTATCGGCTGCAGAGGACTTTCTGGAAGGCCTCTGATGGCAAAACCAAGTCTAGCGGCGATGTGTGCGAGTAGCGGCAAGTGGCCAACAGAAGAAATGGACCTGCAGCCATGAGGTGAGTCAGTAATTAGACATCCCCCAAAACTAAGACCTGGTGCCATTTTTGGTGGCAAAAAAATATAAGACCGGGTCTTATTTTCAGGGAAACATGGGTATATATGTCAGGCTTCTCCTATCTTGCTCATTTAGAAAGAAAGAGCCTTCAACTAAGTTCATAGTGAAAAGTTTACTTTTACTAAAGCCAAATGGTTACAAGACAGGGAAAAGGCCTGATCTGAGGTTTGTGTGTGAAATCTGTCTACTTACTTTCCCCTTTCCCTGGTTCTCCCTCCCCCATTACCTCCCTAGTGTACAATTAAATTCAAACAGGTTGTTTTGGTAATGGTCTTGATGCTTGGAGGGTCAGCACTGGTCCACATTCCAGACTTGTGACCTCGGGTTGTCTGACCAATGTCTCTGGTGGGCACTTGCAGTGGTTTCAGTTTCTGGTTTACCCCCCTCACTCCACCCTCCCCGGGGTCATGGCAATCTGTCATTAGCAAAACAGGAATGAGGTAAAGCAGGATGACAGCACTGACAGTTGTCCTCTCTCCTCCACTTGGGATAATCTGTACATCATCGGTTATGAATTTATCAAACCTCCATTTATCAAACCTCCATGTCTAAGTATGGGTAGTATTCTCTTCCTGTCTGGAGTTCGGTGAAGCATCTGAGACTTTCAATGTTGCTAACAACTGTTCAAAGTTATGGTTGAACTCCAACCATCTACTCACAACCTGGTTTTGAGGTTCCAATGTTCTCCCCACTCCCACCCCACAGTCACATGACTGTATTTTCAACACTCAGCAACCAGCCTGCAGTTACAGCTGTTTGCAGTGCCTTATGGTTACATAATCATAATTTACAATGGTTTTGTCAAAAAAAACCAGCATTTACTTCCAGTTTCCAACATAAAACTCCTCATAGTGATAAATGGGTTTGCTTAACAACCATCATGTTCACTTTATGACTACCACATTCACTTAATGACCACTGCAATAAAAGTTATAAAATCAGGTCTGATCACGTGACCTGCTTTACAAATGTCATAATTTATGATGGTTTGCAGGGCTCCAATATGGTCATAAATTGAGGATGACCTGTATGGAATTCATTATCAAAAGATAAACTGATGATCATTATTAAAAACTGGTCTTTATAACAGTGAGAGAAAATAATCTTTTTTCCACATTATACAATTTGCTAGCCATTCTCGCACATGTTTAAGTATAACCAAGTGCTATTAATGTTGCTGTGGTGGGTATGGCCTGTATAAAACACTCATTTCATAGAAAGGAAAACTGGTCAAACTATTTGTCAAATCAAGTAATTTGTCTAGGAATACATGCCAAAAGTTAAGAGCAGAGCCCAGAGATGCAGACCAACAACCATCCATTTGCGCAACTATTGCCCATCTATGAAATGTATTTCATAGAAAGAAAGATGTGTAAAGAAGTTGCTCAAAATCTTGATTGCACAATAGAAATGAGATTTGAGCCTCAAAACTGTAGACAAGGATCTTCAAACTTGGCAAGTTTAACACTTGTGGACTTCAACTCCCAGAATTCCTGAGCTAACATGACTGGAGGAAGAATTCTGGGAGTTGAAGTCCACAAGTCTTAAAGCTGTCAAGTTTGAAGACCCCCTGCTGTAGACCATCTCTTTGAATGCACAGGTCTTTCTCTCATTTGTGTGTTCTTCCCTAAACACACACTACCAATACATCTCTGATAGGTATTCAAACAAGCATATGTAGAACTTTCCCTTTTCCTAACCTAGGTTTCTCAGCTACTTTTTCCCATTCCACTGAATCAACTTCTTCCTTGTCTTCACATTTTTATAGGATCGTCTGCTTTCTTTGAGATTCCTCCTAACCAAATGGTGGCAGTGGAGTCTATTTTTCTCTTTTCCCGGATGATAAGAAATGGTCCAAATGTTAGGTTGCACATATATTTTTTTTCTTAGTGAAATGAGAAAGGTCCACAGCTTCATACTTACCATGTTGCTTTCTCCCCAAAATAGAAAACTATAAAGGATTTGGTGATCATGAATAGACCAGCCTTAACCAACCCATTCTAGATGTAAGGAAGTGGGTATTAACTGAGAATCCTAGGAGTTGAAGGCCACAAGGCCAGTCATGAAGGATCAAGGTCACACATTAGTTTCAGTTCAGAAGATTTGTTGTTCAATCTTGTACCCAAGAATCTAGTCAACTAATGAGCAGTACTTAATTGGTGCCAGATAAAGGTCAATTATATTCAAGAGGTGTTGAATTTGGATCATTTGTGGTAACATAATGACTCTAGGTCGATGACTCACTTAACTCCTCCCTAGCTCTGCCTGCTTTTCTCCTACACATATCAACTACAGTAGAGTCTTTTTAAAACTCCAGAAGGCCTGGGAAGGGATGTCCACATAAGGGTAAATATGCAAAGGGGCAGGACTTTGATTATACAATTGCATCCACCATCTTGGTCTTTATGCCCCCACAGATACGCCTCCCTAGAGACAAAACATTTGCTTGTCTATACTCCTCCAGATTCTTTTTTCATTGCATTTTTGCCATTCAGTATCTTTTTCTACGTAGTTTTTCACCCACTGATGCCAATGGCCTACTTAATGAAACTATGAATAATAATAATAATAATAATAATAATAATAATAATAATAATAATAATAATGATGATGATATCCGGGGTATTGTGTTCCACAAACTGACAAAGTAATACCCCAGATATCACGATTGTGGATCATTGACATTGCCATACCTGGTGACAGCAGAATCACCGAGAAACAACTTGAAAAAGTCACCAGATATCAGGACTTGAGAATCGAACTGCAGAGACTCTGGCATAAACCAGTGCAGGTGTTTCCAGTGGTACTCAGCACACTGGGTGCTGTGCCTAAAGACCTAGGCAAGCCCTTAAAAACAATTGGTGCTGATAAGATCACCATAGGTCAGCTGCAGAAGGCCACCTTACTGGGATGTGCTCGCATAATCCGCCGATACATCACGCAGTCTGAAACACTTGGGAAGTGCTCGACTAGTGATTTGTGATATGAACCCAGCATGGTTATCTCATCTGCTGTGTATATTATCATTTTAGTGAATGATGATGATGATGATGATGATGAAGATGATGAAATAATTATTCAAATGTTACTTTAACTGGTTAACCAGGATGATTAGGGGACTGGAGACTAAAACATATGAAGAACAGTTATAGGAACTGGGTATGGCTAATCTAGTGAAGAGAAGGACCGGGGAGACATGATAGGAGTGTTCTAATATTTGAGGGGCTGCCACAGAAAGGAGGGGCTCAAGCTATTTTCCAAGGCACCCGAAGGCCAGACAAGGAATAACAGATGGAAACTGAACAAGGAGAGATTCAACCTAGAAATAAGGAGAAACTTTCTGACAGTGAGAACAATCAACCAATGGAATAGCTTGCCTTCAGAAATTGTGGAAGCTTCATTGGAGGCTTTCAAGATGAAACTGGACTGCCATTTGTCAGAAATGGTGTAGGGTCTCCTGCTTGGGTATGGGGGGCTAGACTAGATGATAACAGATAACAGATAATCAGAGTTGGAAGGGACCTTGTAAGTCATCTAGTCCAACCCCCTGCCCAAGCAGGAGACCCTACACCATTTCTGACAGATGGGAGTCCAATCTCTTTTTAAAAGTCTCAAATGATGGCGCTCTCACAACTAGATGACTTACAAAGTGCCTTCCAACTCTGTTAATCTGTTAAATTGAATGATCAATATCATCAAAAATTTACTTTTTATAGAGTCACTCGGAGCAATTGTTCCATTCTTTGCCAATTAAACTTATGGAGAATCAGTTGGTTTGGTGCGTAATAACAATCATTTAGTTTGCCAAAACATGTTTCCCAAGAGGCACAGTTTGTTATTACTTTCTTCTTCCAATTGCTGTTATGCTTCAGTACCTGCAGTAGAGCTAAAATCAGTGTTGATGAGATGTTCCGTTGGCTAAAATCGTGTGTTGCTGTTTGAGTTGGTAGACAATTATTTTAAAATCTGCCTGAAAAGATGGCATACCTCTTTCATAAATATTGCTGGGTTTTACACACTGTCGACAGCTGTTTGATGTTCTTTGGTCACACTGTATAAAATATGTGAGTTATCCAGCCTTCATCAGCTTAATAGATTCCAGATTGCCCTTCCTGGCTGAGGGATAAAGGTTGCTGTCCAAGCGATCAGAAGGGCATCAGGATGGAAGGTATTACAAATTTCTGGTTTTATAATCTGTTAATGCTGCTTAACCTATTTAACTCATTAATATTGATGGTCCACCAGAAACAAACTCTAACCCATGTATGAGTCAATGATCAAATCTGTCAGCATAGATGATTCTGGTAGCTGTCATGTGCAAATGAGAGAATATCCTTCTCTTCTTTGTAGATGGTTGGAAGAGTTCTATGAATTCAGTTTCTGAAAGGTGCTTTAGAACATGATCATACCTGTCAGTAGCATATTTAA